TCCCTCCCTCCCTCCCTCCCTCCCTCCCTCCCTCCCTTCCTTCCTTCCTTCCTTCCTCCCTCCCGCCCTTCCTCCCTCCTCCCCTCCCTCCTTTTCTCCCTCCCTCCCTTCCTTCTTTCCTTCCTTGCCATTTCATGAAGGCATAAATACAGAAAATGAAAATAAAGCATGTACAGCTTCTCAGCCTTTTGGCTAAGATCAAGTCTGGAGAGTAGTATGTAGTATCATGTGGTGACTTCCATCTCATTGAACAGGGTATAAACCATTATGCATGTGGCTTATATAACAAGTTGTATGTGGTGTGAGCGTCATATTGGTCATGCTCTATAGGACCACATTACAACATGTAATATGCTAAAGTTGGTTTGTCAACTCTAACTCCAGAAAATATATTTTAAAATTGAGAAAACTGAAACATTCTTTTTTTTTCTTCTTTTTAATTGTACTTTATGTTCTGGGGTACATGTGCAGATCATGCAGGATTGTTGCATAGGTACATACCTGGCAAGGTGGTTTGCTACCTTCATCCCCCATCACCTATATCTGATATTCTCCCCTCACAACCCTTTTTTTAATCCCTCCCCACCCTCACCACCCCTACTGTCCCTCCCCTAGCCCACCCCTACTGACTGAACTGTGTGATGCTCCCCTCCCTGTGTCCATGTGTTCTAATTGTTCAACACCTGCCTATGAGTGATAACATGGTGTTTGGTTTTCTGTTCTTGTGTCAGTTTGCTGAGAATGATGGTTTCCAGATTCATCCATGTCTCTATGAATGACACAAACTCAACGTTTTGTATGGCTGCATAGTATTCCACGGTATATGTGCCACATTTTCTTTATTCAGTCTATCAATGATGGAAATTTGGGTTGGTTCCATGTCTTTGCTATTGTAAACAGTGTCCCAATGAACATATGTGTGCATGTGTCTTTATAATAGAACAATTTATAATTATTTGAGTATATATCCAGTAATGGGATTGCTGGGTCAAATGGTATTTCTATTTCTAGGTCCTTGAAGAATCACCACACTGTCTTCCACAATGGTTGAACTAATTTACACTCCCACCAATAGTGTAAAAATGTTCCTATTTCTCCACATCCTCTCCAGCATCTGTTGTCTCCAGATTTTTTAATGATCGCCATTCTAACTGATATGAGATGGTATCTCAATGTGGTTTTGATTTGCATTTCTCTGATGACCAGTGATGATAAGCATTTTTCATGTGTTTGCTGGCCTCATTGATGTCTTCTTTTGTAAAGTGTGTTCATATCCTTTGCCCACTTTTGAATGGGTTTGTTTGTTTGTTTCTTGTAAATCTGTTTTAGTTCTTTGTAGATTCTGGATATTAGCCCTTTGTCAGATGGGTAGATTGCAAAAATTTTTTCCCATTCTGTTGGTTGCCAGTTAGCTCTAATGAGTGTTTCCTTTGCTGTACAGAAGCTCTTAAATTTAATTAGGTCCCATTTGTCTATTTTGGCTTTTGTTGCCATTGCTTTTGGTGTTTTAATCAGGAAGTCCTTGCCTATGCATATGTCCTGAATGGTTTTGCCTAGGTTTTCTTCTAGAGTTTTTATGCTGTTAGGTCTTATGTTTAGATCTTTAATTCATCTGAAGTTAATTGTAGTGTAAGGTGTCAGGAAGGGGTCCAGTTTCTGCTTTCTGCACATGGCTAGCCAGTTTTCCCAACACCATTTATTAAACAGGGAATCCTTTCCCCATTGCTTGTTTTTCTCAGGTTTGTCAAAGATCAGATGATTGCAGATGTGTGGTATTGCTTCTGAGGCCTCTATTCTGTTCCATTGGTCTATGCCTCTGTTTTGGTACCATGCTGTTTTGATAACTGTGGCCTTGTAGTATAGTTTGAAGTCAGGCAGCGTGACGCCTCCTGCTTTGTTCTTTTTTATTAGGATTGTTTTGGCTATGTGAGCTGTCTTTTGGTTCCATATGAAGTTTGAAGTCATTTTCTCCAGCTTTGTGAGGTCATTGGTAGCTTGATAGGGATAGCATTGAATCTATAAATTACTTTGGGCAGTATGGCCATTTTCATGATGTTGATTATTCCCAAGCATGAGCATGGGATGTTTTTCAATCTGTTTGTGTCTTCTTATTTCACTGAGCAGTGGTTTGTAGTTCTGTTCAACATACACAAATCTATAAATGTAATCCATCACATAAACAAAACCAAAGACAAAAAACCACATGATTATCTCAATAGATGCAGAAAAGGCCTTTGACAAAATTCAACAGTCCTTTATGCTAAAAACCCTCAACAAACTAGGTATTGACAAAACGTATAACAAAATAATAAAAGCTATTTACGACAAAGCCACAGCCAATATCATACTGAATGGTCAAAAACTGGAAGCATTCCCTTTGAAATCTGGCACTAGACAAGGATGCCCTCTCTCACCACTCCTATTCAATATAGTATTGGAAGTTCTAACCAGAGCAATCAGGCAAGAAAAAGAAATAAAGGGTATTCAATTAGGAAAAGAAAAAGCCAAATTGTCTCTATTTGCAGATGACATGATTATATATTTAGAAGACCCCATTGTCTCAGCCCCAAATCTCCTGAAACTGATAAGCAACTTCAGCAAAGTCTCAGGACACAAAATCAATGTGCAGAAGTCACAAGCATTTCTATACACCAATAACACACAAGCAGAGAGCCAAATCAAAAGTGAACTCCCATTCAAAATTGCTACAAAGAGAATAAAATACCTAGGAATACAACTAACAAAGGATGTAAAGGTCCTCTTCAAGAAACATTCTTTATAACCAATTATTCCATTGGAAAAGCTCTGTTGAAAACACTTGAAATAGGTCGTGAACTGTTTGTGTTTCATCAAGACAGGAAGCCAGTTTAATCTCAACTTTTCAAAGATGTGCCTATAACCAGAATCACTTACTTGTATGATATCTTTAAGAATTTTATGATTATGATAATTCTATGCAAAGAAAAACTGCAACATGTTTTACAATGGCAGGTAAGATTACAAGGCAAAAACAAACATTAAAAGCTTAGAAAAAAAAGTATTTACAGATAGTGATGGTACATAACAACTACAAGAAAATGGTTGATGATGTTGATATTTCACATCTGCAACAAGTTGTTACCAATTTCACCTTATAAATTTTCTATTCCTTCTGAGAGAATATAAAATTCAGAAGTCCAAACATTGAAAATTGATCTTTCTGAGATACATTTTTTCTTTTCTATTAATATATTTTATTGCATGTATTTAAACATACAGGGTGATGTTATGAGATACATATAGATAGCAAAAAGCCTCTGTAGTGAAGCAAATTAACATACCCATCATCTCATGTAGTTACCCAATCTTTTTGTTTTTGTGGCAAGAGAAGCAAAATCTACTCATTTCACATGAATCCCATATATATTACAATTGTATTGCTTGTAGTCCTCCCAGTGTACCTTAGCTCTCTAGACTTGTTCATCCACATATCTGCTACTTTGTATCCTCTTATCTACATCTCCCATTTCCTCCACAGCTACCCTGCTAACCAACATTTTGTTCTCTATATCTGCATATTTGAATTTTTTTAGCAAACATGGTATCTAAAGAGAAGAACCAAGTTGGAGGACTGACACTACCCAACTTCAAGACTTACAATAAAGCTCCAGTAGTGAAGACAGTGTGGCACTGGTGAAAGAATAGACAAACAGATCAATAGGTGAAATCAGCGAGACACAGAAAAATATCACATTATCTCAGAATCCTTTTTTTTATCAAAAGGAAAAAAATTAAAGACAAAAAAATTATATTGTAGGAAGTGACTACTGATGGACTGAATATGTATTTTTAAAATATGATATCACTTGTTTTAAATAAGAATTTTAAATAAATATTGTGTGTTTCTGAAATTATTCCAAAATTTCTTCTGTTCCTGTCAACATACCTCTGTGAGACTGATTTTTTCTACTATGGGTACTGTTAAAACAAAACATAGAAACAGTTTAGAAATGCATTATCCTCTGCAATTAGCATTACCATCAATCAAAGTTAGAGTAAACAAATTAATAAGCAAGAAGCAAGTTTATTTAAATAGTGGAAATTTAAAGAGTGATATGTATTATGTTCATTTCAAATGGGTATTACAGACTTACAAGGCAAGAAATCATTATTTCCTTTGTAATTTTTGTTTAGCTACAGTTTTAGAAGAGCCAAAAGCTATGTGTAATAGTGGTTATGTTAGTTGTGGATTATTGTCAGATTTGTGTACCTGAGATATAATTTAAAATAAATAACTGGAATGTGATAGGACACTTCCAAAAAATAAAATAGCATGCCACTATTAAGAATTATAATAAATATGTTTATTGATATTAAAAGTTATTTATGGGACATTAAGCTAAAAAGCAGGTTATAAAGTATATACACATTATGATCTAACTTGATTTTACTAAGTCACATATGTATAAAATACATACATGTGCATACAAAAGTCTATAAATCAAAATGAAAATACTATTATTAACTATGTCTTTGTTGGGAGATTGAGTGCTTTTACTCTCCTTTTCTTATTATCTGCATTTTCCAATTTTGTTCATCTAATTTAATAGGCATTAAAATGCAATACGATATTGCAATGATTAAGTATCAGAAAGCTGGAGAAAATAAATACGAAAGTGTTTGGGAAGGTCAGAATAGGATTCCCCATAAAAATGAGAGAAAGATGTAAAGTCACAGCATATTATAAAATTTACAAATTCACGTACATCACTTGAGGTGAAAGAGAAACAGCCATAAAAGGACTTTGAAACTGCATAAAGATACAAGAGAAATTGATTTGAAACACAGACATAAAAGCTACCTATAAAACCCAGGTAAATATCTGGTACTGGCACACAGGTTGTCAGAAACAGCCATAAAAGGACTTTGAAACTGCATAAAGATACAAGACAAATTGATTTGAAACACGGACATAAAAGCTACCTATAAAACCCAGGTGAATATCTGGTACTGGCACACAGGTTGGTGCAGAGAACGAGAAAACACAGAGGTGCCAAAGGAACAAAGTAAGTCCAGTGAAAACTCTTTGCCTATCTCTCCCCCAAATCAATGGGCACAAAGTGGGGCTGATCTACCTGTGTGGGTTCCATTTTCTCAACTGGAAGGATGAAGACAATTTCTTGACTCTATGTTGAGGCCAACTGAAAAATGAGGGAAAATAAAACCATTAATGAAACAAGAAAAAAAAAAAAAAAAAAACGGGAGAGGAATGAAAAAGTAAGTTGATTGCTATAAAAGAACTAAAAGGGACTGCAAAAGGAAAAAAAAAAAAAAAAAAAAAAAAAAAAAAAGGCCAGGCGCCGTGGCTCAAGCCTGTAATCCCAGCACTTTGGGAGGCTGAGGCGGGTGGATCACGAGGTCGAGAGATTGAGACCATCCTGGTCAACATGGTGAAACCCCGTCTCTACTAAAAACACAAAAAATTATCTGGGCATGGTGGTGTGTACCTGTAATCCCAGCTACTCAGGAGGCTGAGGCAGGAGAATTGCCTGAACCCAGGAGGTGGAGGTTGCAGTGAGCCGAGATCGTGCCATTGCACTCCAGCCTGGGTAACAAGAGCAAAACTCCGTCTCAAAAAAAAAAAAAAAAAAAAAAAAAAAAAGCTAATACTGGCCAGGTATGGTGGCTCATGCCTGTAATCCTAGAACTGTGGGAGGCTGAGGCAGGAGGATCACCTGCCGTCAGGAGTTCGAGACAAGTCTGGCCAACATGGTGAAACCCCATCTCCACTAAAAATACAAAAATTAGCCAGACATGGTGGAAAGCACCTGTAATCCCAGCTATTCAGGAGGCTGAGACAGGAGAATCACATGAATCTGGGAGGCAGAGGTTGCAGTGAGCCAAGATCGCTTCATTGCACTCCAGCCTGGGTAACAAGAGTGAAACTCCATCTCAAAAAAAAAGAAAAAAATGCTAATGCTACTAATGCTAAGAAAGGTGAACAGTAGGTTCAACTGTATGCCATTACATGAACATCGACCAAAAAGGACAAGGCCATGACCCAATGGGCACTTGATGATTATTATATGGCTACCACAGGGCAACACAGAACACAGAAGAAATACTGGAGGTTTTGTAACACATTTTAATTAAGGTACTTTTTTTCTGACAAGAAGACAATTAAAATTAAAATAGGTGGGGAAAAAACACTCATTTTCACCAGGTCAGCATTTTGTGAAAGGTGATATAAGTGTATACCTGTGGATGTACTGGGTGATTTTGTGGAAATGATTTGGTTTTATGTTTGGCTTTATGCTATAAAGTACTCTTGAAAATAATAATCATCTTCGCTCTGTTAAAAGTGAAGTTAGCATGAAAACGAGGTAAAAAGAAACTGTTAAAAAGGTAAAATCGGCTGGGTGCAGTGGCTCACGCCTGTAATGCCAGCACTTTGGGAGGCTAAGGGGGGTGGATCATGAGGTCAAGAGATCGAGACCATCCAGGCCAACATGGTGAAGCCCTGTCTCTACTAAAAATACAAAAATTAGCCTGGTGTGGTGGCATGTGCCTGTGGTCCCAGCTACTCGGAAGGCTGAGGCAGGAGAATCGCTTGAATCTGGTAGGTGAAGGTTGCAGTGAGCTGAGATTATGCCACTGCATGCCAGCCTGGGCCACAGAGTGAGACTCTGTCTCAAAAAAAGAAGCAGAAGGAGAAGGAGAAGGAGAAGAACAAAGTCAAATTTTCCCATGTTTATTTGAAATAATCTAATCACAGAGCAAATTGATACGGTTTTTTCTATTTGCTTTAGTCTTTACTTTTGATCTCATCAGAGCTCCTATGTTTTTTTTTTTTTTTTTTTTTTTTTTTTTTTTTTTTTTTTTTTTTTTTTTTTTTTGAGACGGAGTTTCACTCTTGTTACCCAGGCTGGAGTGCAATGGCGCGATCTCGGCTCACCGCAACCTCCGCCTCCTGGGTTCAGGCAATTCTCCTGCCTCAGCCTCCTGAGGAGCTGGGATTACAGGCACGCACCACCATGCCCAGCTAATTTTTTGTATTTTTAGTAGAGACGGGGTTTCACCATGTTGACCAGGATGGTCTCGATGTCTTGACCTTGTGATCCGCCCGCCTCGGCCTCCCAAAGTGCTGGGATTACAGGCTTGAGCCACCGCGCCCGACCAGCTCCTATGTTTTTTATGTGTTTCTTGTTCTTAAAAATAATTGCAGTTGTTCTAATTTTTATTTTAAAAAAAGGACAACTGATGGTAAATATCTTACCAACTATTGAGAAAAATCCTACTAAGTCAATAGGTAGAATCTATGAAAATAATCTGTTTATTAGTTTCCCTTCTCATGTATCATTTACAGAATTATCTTCATTTCAATTGAACAATTAAAGAATCTGAACTGGCTCAGTCTTTAATTCTTTTTATAAAACTAGAACTCGACTTAGTAAAAATGTATTCTGAGAGTAGTCAGAATAACTATAGACCTAGCCATGAATAATCTGAGTTCTATATGAAACTTACAGCTCTTAGTCCAGAAACTAAATTCTAAGTCTAGAAACTAAATAGCAGATATGAAAGGAAAACTGTTGTTAAATAAATGAAAAGTATGGAATTTTCCTTATAAAATTTCTTGAGACAAAAAAAAGGCAATGATCAGCAGCAAAGGAGAATGTAATGAAATCATATACATGGAGAAACATGGACAATTGTTTAATTGTACACTTTTTAAAAGTTCAAAAAAATTCTTGTTCTGGTTAATGACTGTACTCTGAGTACCCCTCTCCTATTTCCTTGCTTTTGACATTGACCCTGTTCAGTTCCTTTTATAAACTTTTCCTATGGCTACATCTACTGCCTAAAACAAGATCGAATACCTTTGGATCTAATAATAATATAATAACTACTTTTTATTAAGCTCTGCCTTGTGTCAGGCACTGTTTCAACCATTTTGCATAATTTGCATAGACTAATTTGATCCTTACATTAGCCCCTTTATATTGCATCATCAGTCATTTTACAGTCGAGACATAGGAGCTAACAGGGATTTCATTAAGAAAGTTGCTTAAAGCCCCTTACTGAAGTAGCAGATTGAGGATTAGAAAAGAGGGCTTGAGCAGTATTTGGCCACAGAAACCAGATCCATAGGGTGTATAACCTCACATTCTCAGATGCTATTGAGAGTTACATGGAGTTACTCCAAGAATCACAATTACAAACTTATTTTTCCTTGTTCAAAATAAACTTTTGTGGGCTAAAATGTGTTTCCATTTTGAAAAAACAATCCCTTTGTAATCAGATATTTCAGAATGGTGGTTTCTTCCTTTTTGTTGAGTTTTCAACCATTTTCAGTTGTATCTAGCCTCAGAGAGTAAGATATGAGTGCAAGTTCTGGATTCAATTCTGGTCATTGCAAAGTAGGGATAATATTAGTAGAGTACCTACCTCACGGGGTTCTGTAAAGGGTACAGAGATAGTGTATCATGCACTTAACACAGCAATAATAATAGAGCCAAGCCCTCTAGTTGTAACAGGCACAATTCTACATACTTTGCAGAAGATAATTCTTTAATACTCAAACTGACTCGCTAAGGAAGGTAGTGTTATAAGCTCTATTTTATAGGCAGAAAACAAAGGCAAAGAGAGGTTAACAAACTTGTCAGAGACCACAAAGCTGCTGTGAGATCCCAAGTCATGTTCCTAAACATGACACTGTACAGACCCTACTCTGCCTACTATAAGTGTTTAATAAATGTTAGCTCTCTAGACAGCTCACCTAAGGCTTGATAAAGAGAAGCTTTACTAAATTAATTAATTGATCACTAAGAAGTTAATCTGGTTTATAAACGCCTCTTTTTTCATGGCATCAGAAGACAGAATTTTTGTTGTTGGGTAGTTGCAGTAGAGTCAATACCCTGCCACCAAGGCCGGCCTGGAAAACAAGATGCAAGTGTCCAGTGCAATGCTGTATGGATGACTGGGGGTTGGGAGAAGGGATTCTGAGTCAACAGCCAAGAATCCCATCTTGGAGTCCTAACTCTGTCATATATTTTCTATGTAACCTTGAGCATGTCACTTAACTTGATTCAGATTCAATGTCTCATCTGTAAATGAAGGGGAATGAGACAGGATAAATTGACAGAGTATTTCCTACCCTAAAATTGCTGGATTCTATGACCACAGGGTCTGAATATGTCCCTGTTAGATACCATTGATACATTATGCCAATAGATTATTCATAGTATTCATACTTCATACCAAGAATGAGATAGTCATTACTCTAACTTTCTTGACATTCATTAAGCACAATAAAGTTGTTTGAGAAGATGTCAAAAAAAAAAAGAAAGAAATCTAAGGCTGAAGACAAAATTTTTAAGTGTCATAATTTTTTTCAAAGATTAATACTCATTATTATCCATATCTAGTTGTTCTGGCTTATTGCCAACAAAATTTCCCTTAGCAGCATGGGGCCTGAGATGCTCTAAGCTTTCAGAAGGACAGAAATAAATAAAAAATAAATAAGAGTATTTTTCCTAACAAACAGGAGAATCAACTTAAGTGGGCATATATGAACTATCTAGTTTCCCAATTACTGACAAATAATTTTAACCTCAGACTGCTCTCCTTGCCATCCAAGTACTGTATTACTTGGCCTCTATATTAATTTTCTATTTGTTAATATAACAAACTACCACAAACAGAGTGGCTTAAAACAATACAATTTTTTTCTCTGACAGTTCTGTAGGTCAGAAGCCCAATACCAGCACACTATGACCTGGAGACTCTAGGGAAGAATCTGTTTCCTTGCTTCATCCAGCTTCTAGAGGCAACCCATATTCCTTGGCTCATGGACGCCTTCCCCTATCTTCAGTCCGCAGCATAGCATCTCTCTGATGAGAGATGGTTTCGGGATGAAACTGTTCCACATCAGATCATCAGGCATTAGATTTTCATAGGGAGCATGCAACCTAGATCCCCAGCATGTGCTCTTCACAGTAGGGTTCACGCTTCTGTGAGAATCCAATGCCATGCTGATCTGACAGAAGGCAGAGCTCAGGTAGTCATGCTTGCCTGCTGCTCACCTTGCACAGTGTGGCTAGGTTTCCAACAGGTCATGGACAGGTATCAGTCCTTGGCCTGGGGGTTGGGGAGTTTTGAGAACCATGTTTCTATCAGTTGTTATGGCCCATTATCTGCTCACTTGCTCTCTCCATTTGCATAGATAATTGACATTTGACATTTGGTAAGATTTTCTTTAGTTTCTTTTCTGGATAAATGTATCATTTTGGTATGTTTTGCGATACTTAGGACATAAAGATGTCATCCAAGCCAATAAGCCATGCTGGACTACATAAAACCATACCCAACCCTTACCCACCAAGCAGCTTTCTGGCTCCTGGATCTCAACAGCCTCTGGGTTCAATCAACTCAGAAAACCAAGCCCAGGATGCTCAGTATGCTCAGCCCTGGTTTATCAGATCTCCAGAAACCTCTGCTGGCAGTCAACCGGGTCAAGGAAATACACGAATGATAAATTCAAGTATGGGAATGGCAGTAATAACCTTCAAAGAAGAAGCAAAGGCACTAGGGGTAAGTCTCTTTACTACCAGAATTTTAATTTCACATTTGCAAGATCTTCTTATAAGTTATCAGAGAAAAGATATTATCCAATTGTTAAACAGTTCTGAATGTCATTCTAAAGCTATCTCTTTTAGATAGAAATATTTAGTCTGCCTATAGACTTTCCCTTGAGTTCATTTTATTTTAGATCAAGCACAAATCTAACAGGAGACAGAGGAGCCTCCTAGCTGAAGGATTTGGTAATATTGACATGATGGAAACACCACTACATCTAGCTTGATTTCATTGCTTCAAAAGACTTTTTGGACAATCTCAATCCCATCTCTAGATTTGTTACAAGCCTGGTATTTGCCTAAAGGTGAATTTACATAAAAATGAGCACTGATGGCTGCCCCCAAAAAAGGGAACTACAAATGGGCAGTCTGGGAAAGGCTGAGTGTGAAAGAACTGGAAGATGTTCCATCTGCTGTGCCTCTCTCAACAATACTCTTAGAGATGCTATGGCTTAACTGTCACCTTACTTCTACAAAGGGGACTCTGAACTATGTTGTTTCTGTAGGCATCGTAAAAACAAAAATGCCCTAATTATGAGAAAATTCCACCTGCCTACGTAGAATTGTTAGTCACTCTGCTGTGCTTTCCAAATAGCACAATGCCACCAAATTATATTAAGTCTCTCCCTGTGCATAGCTCCAACTTCTCTGCTGGAGCATTCCGTAAATGGATGCTCATTATGTGCCAGAAACTCTTCTAGCCATCTTACTACCTATTTCAAGTTTGGATGTTTTAGGGACGTAAAAATGAGCATAAGTTCTTCTGCAGCAGACTATTTACCAAGCTGTGGAGGTGGCCCTTCTCATCCTCCTCCTCCCAGATAGAGAAAATCCCCTGCTCCTAATAAATCAATGAGACAAACTAACATCCCCACATACAGCCTACTCCACACAGGTGCCTGGAATATCACTGAGCACAGAGCAGGTGCAATCTCTGCCCTTATGGCCTAATGTAGGAAATCAGACTGTACACATAATAAAGAAGTGAAGTACATAGTGTGTTAGAAGGTGCCAAATGATATAGAGAAAATGAAGAAGTGTAAAAAGGCTAAGCAGTACCAGGCAGTGAGGAGGCAGCAATTTCAAAGTAGTGAGGACAGGCTTTCCTTAGAACATAACATTTGAGCCAAAACCTGAAGTTAGGAGTGAGCCCTGCAGATGTCAGGGAAAGAGAAAACACCCAGTGTAAAAGTCTTTAGATAAAAATGTGTGCGATATATTTAAAGAACAGGGAGGAGGCTAATAAAATAATACAGAATGAGCGAGGGAGGGAGCAATTGTCAGGAGGGCAGAGGACCGGCAAAGGCCACACCTGGTGAGGCCTGCAGAGCGGAAGGCTTTGGCTTTGACTGAGTGAATGAGGAGCCACTGAAGCATGCTGCCTGGTGCCAGAAATATGTTAAAGTATTTCAAAATACTTCAAAAGAATGCGAAGTTTTGCTTTCAAAAGCTCCAGTTGGCAAAGCTACTTCCTCTCCCGGAAGATTGTTATTTCTATGCCATCAGCAGGCCCCAGGCATCACGACAGTGCCAGGGCTACAGGGAGCAGGACGTGGCACATCTGTGCCAGTCAACTCAGACCTTAAAGTGCTTCTGTGGCCAAAAATGCAAACAAATGGAAGGTCCAGATTTTAAGTCTGTCCCATACGCAATGTTGACCTAGTAAATGGTACCACCAGTGCTGTAGGAGGAGAAACGAGGCCTGTACAAATGCAGATCTAACTGACCCTCATCAAGATGACAGCAAGGACAAGGATGGAAAGTTTGTGGCCAGATGGCTGAATTGCTGCTCTACAGAAGAGTTGTAAAAACCAAATATAAAGTCTAATGCAGGAGTTATTTAAGTGAGATTAGCTAAAGGAGGCCCATCATCTTTCCGAAGCTATATGCAAAAGTATGGCGTGTGTGTGTGTGTGTGTGTGTGAATGTGCAAGAATAATTTTTAAGGGAGAAAGGTTCATGGTTTTTATCAAAGTCTCAGGAAACTTTTAGCATTGTTTATGAAACTGGTTTCTTTTTTTCTAATTTTAATTTAATTTATTTGTATTCAGAAGCTATTTATTGAAGAAATAAATACAGCAGTCTTTGCATTTACAGTTTTCCTGGATAGATAAGATGTAAACATGGAGAAAAATAAATTTCAAATATGCAGTCAAATTTTTGATCAATCTAGAAATGGTTTTTCCTCAGAAATCTATCTTTATTTACAATGAAGGGAGGTGCAATAAGAGGTATAAAGAGCTGAAAGATGTATACCTTACTTTTAGTAATATATGATTGGTAAGAAGAATGACTGGTAAGAAAATTATTTTGTTCTTGGTAAGAAAATTATATTGTTCTTTTTTTAAAAGAACAATAACTGCACCTTTTAAAAAAAAGAACAATATAAATGAGTATACAAAATCAAGTAATAAAGTTTGTTTTATGTTATGAGATGCAACAGAAATTTAGAAAAAAAATTAATTGGGTGTAATCTCCAAGACTTCATGGAAAAGGCAGAGCAGAGCTGAGCATGAGGGAAGACAGTATTGAATACCTGAGACAGGCTCAGGAGTCAATGTGTCGCAGGAAATTCCCAGATCTGCCCCTTAGGGATTGTGTGACCTTGGATACCTGATTTCTTTATGTCTCTGTGACTCAGTCCAGTTATGGGAGGATTACACGAAACAATAAATGTAAAATGTTCAGCATACGACCAAGCACATAATTCATGTCAGATAAATGGTTTTATCTCCACCATTTCCTTTACTCATAACTGAGATGACTCAAGCGGAGAACTTATCCATCTGAAAAAGCAGCTACTGACACCACAGCTAAAGTATTTTTTTTTTTTCATAAGAGTCTTTTAGAGGCCCTCAGAGATGCTAATGCATGATTAAGAAGAATTCTTCCTGGACCACCCCAGCAAGTCTCCCCAAATACCTCAAAACACAGCCTTATGCTAAGGGCCTTGCACTCCCGTTATTCTAGCATATGTCGGAATCCTCCTGGTCCACTTCCTGCTTCAGATGCGTGCCTGAATGACAACCATGGATCTCAGCAAAATTGACAATAAATAAGCAGGAGCAGCAATGACAGTAATGTTTCACACCTCTGAAAGTGAAGAAGTAATATTAAAATGTCTTTTTTCTTTTTTCAGGTAATCCAGATCATGGTTGGATTGATGCACCTTGGTTTTGGAATTATTTTGGGTTTAATAAGCTTCCTTTATAAAAGCAATTTAAGTTTTCTCTCTTTGGCTTTTGTTGGTGGATACCCATTCTGGGGCGGCCTTTCTGTGAGTAGTTTGCTGGAACACCTCTCCTTCTTGGTTTATAGAATATTGATATCTCCAGCCAATTCACAACTCATTTCTCAATAAAGCTCTACAACTGAGGGCTAGAGAATGTAAAAAAATTAACAGCTCTGAATGAGCATAACAAATCAGGAATTTATTCCCCATTTTACCTAGGAGCTTATCCCATTCTTAAAAATTTACTCTAATCATGTAATCAGCAAGCCAAAGTTTTGGTTTCCTGTTACATTTGAGATGGAAATGTATAGGTTGTGGGGAGAGTGACAAAAATAAATATAAAAAGGTGGTTGGAAACATGATTAAAAATATGCAAATAAGCCAGGCATGGTGGTGCATGCATGTAGTCCAATTTACTTGGGAGGTTGAGGCAGGGGATTGCTTGAGCTCAAGAAATTGAGGCCAGCCTGGGCAATGTAGTGAGACCCTATCTCTAAAAAAAATTTTTTTAATTAAAAAAATGCAATTGATTATGAGAAGGAATTGAGCAGTAAGCCTCAGAACAAGGAATGCTTACACATTTCTTCTTAGGCCAGAAACTAAGGAGAAGAAAATAAAAAAGAAGTCAAGGATGTATGCCTGAGAGTGACTCCAGAAAATTCAGAAGTATGAGAGAAAATTTTGAGAAGGAAACTAGATGAACATAAATAGACTAACCATTCATATAAAGATAAATTCCCAAGCACAACCAGTTAACCCATTTCACAAATAAATTTGTTCATTTCCACAGTTCATTATCTCTGGCTCTCTCTCTATATTAGCACCAAAGGAGCTTTCTCCTCTTCTGGTAAGTTAGACTGTTTCTACTTTTTGAATTCCTTTAAAGATTAGCTTCATATATTGGGGAGGAAAATTGAAAAGTTGGATTTGGGAAATGCAAAAGGGAGCACGTTTCCCCCCAAAAATCTATTGGTTGCCTCATGGTCTGAGTGATGGGGTGGGAGAATGGTCCACACAGTTTGCCACTAAGAAATGGCAGAGCTCGACATCCCGACCCTTGAACTCACAAGGCTGAGAAGTAGTAAAGATCAGGATTCTTTAAGCTTTAACCTAAATGCTCCCTGGTTCAGTCAGGTCACACCGCATTACGGGAAGTTCAAAGAAGAATCCAGGAGCCAGGAAGCACCTACTTGCCACAGCAGTCACAAGCCTCTACTGTTTATCTGGCACTTCTCAGCTCTGTCTTGTATTTTTTTTTTTTCATTTGTGCATCTTTCCTACTCTTTCTCAGATTGGGTGTGTGTTTTACAACAATTATTTAAATTGCCATTAAATGAGTCTAACTTGTCCCATAAAAAATTGTTCATAAAAATGATCAGTAAGATGGGACTTTCAGTTCTCTCAGTCACAGCACCCCACCTATTGCAATTTCCTGGTCTACTATTGAACCAGGAAGAAGAATGTGATTTACCAAGAACTAGAGTCAACTAGAGCAGAGGTGGTTCCAAGACTATATGCAATCCAGCACAAGAGGAAAGAACAGGGAAGGAGGAACACAGAATCGTGTAGGTCGTGCTCTTGCAGACAAAACAAGAATAAAACAATGAAATCAAATTGACATAAAATAAAATAAGCCTAATTATGATTAACCACTCCTGTTATAGTCCAAAAACAAAATAAAACATCCTTCCCCTGCATCCTTTATGGATCCTTCCCTCTAATTGAGATTGTCCAAGCATAGAATCTGTCCTCTTAGAGGAGACAACCACTGACATTTACCTAAGACAATTTTTCTAAGAGCTTTGAGAGGCCCTCAGGAGACTCTAAGGCATGCTGCAGCACAAGCACCTTCTAAAGAACTCGACTGTGCCACCTCTAGCAAGTCAGCTGAGGACTTAGTTTCACAATTATTCTTCTGCTTGTCAAAATCCTATTGCAGAAACTGGGGAAAGTTTTGTAGTTGTCTATACACCTCTGCCCACAAAAGCCTAAAGAGTTTCTCCTTCTAAATTTGGGGATTCATATTTAGCCCCTAGAGAGACTTACGGTTTTCATTCATTCCAGAATTTTTCAGCAAACATGTTGTGTCTAAATACTTCCCCACCTTTCAAATCAGATGCTATCATACTACCTCATACAATGGCTGTAAGAGTTAAATGAGATCATTTAAATAGTTTAACACAATGTCTGCCACAGAAAAATGCTCATTAGAAATTTGTTTTTTCATTTTTCTCTCAAATAAAATATAGTTGTTATTGTGCATGAGGCTTTTAGAAAAATACAATAGATGAGAGCCTGCTTTATATGATTTACATTTTTCTACAGCTTTTTAGAAGTACCCTACATCTAGGCTGCATATAGAATAATGTTTCTGGTAATTACTAAGAAGAGCAGAAAACAGAATCATTTCAACTTGAAAACTTATTTCAAAATTTTAAAAAATAAGAACCATGGAATTTGATTGACTGTTATTTCACTTAACTTCATTGATCCTATACACAATTGACTTTTTTCTGCCACCTCCATTAGCTGAGAAGCAGCCTTGGAATGAACATTGTTAGTTCTATCTTTGCCTTCATTGGAATGATTCTGCTGCTGGTAGATATGTGCATCAATGGGGAATTTTACCAAGATTACTGGGCCGTGGTAAGTATCCCAAAATCTACTATCTGCCTGCTCTCTTTTCAGTCCCATAAAATGGGTCTATTTTTTATCTTTTAATACTGTACACCAGCTTTTGTGGAAAATCGTTTTTCTATTCTAGCCACATACCTAGTCGTATGATCTCTAGGTCTATATAATAAAGTGAGAGGGTTACCTCTACAGATAGACCAAGGTTTAACGGACATCCCTTATTGGCTCATCTCACTGTCAATCACATGAACAATGGGAAAGGATTTGGATAGGCCTCTATGGCTTCTAAAATTGTCCAAAAATTATTTTCCCAGAATTTGAAATTCTATATAAATAAGGTAGTCAAGTTATTGTTTTTTTTTTTTTAATTTCAGACTAAAATATGAAGTGAGAGGTAAATGACAGGGATAAGAACATCCAATTTTTACAAAGAAACCCAAGGAATGAAGCAATTGCAAAAGGAAGTACATGCCTCTGAATGTGCTCTAAATCACACATTCATTAGCCTTATATAGCCATGCATGGACTCTGATCTTAGGAGGAAAGGGTAACCTGAGGGCAGAGATACGTAAATTACCATCCATAAGAAATGGAGGAACATGGTATAAAATGAGGTTGGACTGGAAGCTCCATCCTACTTCAACGGCCATGTTAACAGTTTTGGTCTTCATTCTGTGAGCAAAGGAAAACCACAAAAGAGTGATTTTATTGGTTTTGTTTTATTTTGCACTGGGGTTGGTTTTGCTTTTGCTTTTCAATTTAAATTACTGTGGGCTACATGCATCTTAAGAAAGACACGGAATGACTTCCTTATATATCTAGAAAATATTAACGTTAAGACACTATAGCAATATTTTGAACAAATAACGACAATAACATTTTCCTTATCAGTTCACTCCGTACCGTGTAAGTAATTCTGTTCCACTGGATCTCAGAGTGGCAGGCTTATGAAGCCATCTGTTTCTCAGCTAAAGGATTCTGAAATCCTGACTCCAACCACTGGTATGATCTGAAAGTTGTCTAAGCACTGCTATCAGATGCCTGTCCCCTAGAATATGTTGTTGGAAGCGTCAATAGTTTGAACTCCTGGCACACCCATTTTCCACCAAGCTCTGAGACGCTCCTTGCTCGTTAAAAACATAGTAGAATTTTAGGCAGGGAATTTGAATGATCACTTTTGTGCTTGGAAAGGACAACGTTGCAGTGTAAGGAAAAGCTTATATAAGAAGGTGTATTAGTTTGTTTTCACACTGCTGATAAATATCTGAGACTGGGAAGGAAAAGAGGTGTAATGGACTTACGGTTCCACATGGCTGGGGAGGCCTCACAATCATGGCAGAAGGCAAGGAGCAGCAAGTCATGTCTTACATGGATGGGGAAGGCAAAAAAAGAGCTTGTGCAGGGCAATTCCTGTTTTTTAAACCACCAAATCTCATGAGACCCATTCACTATCACAAAAACAGCACAAGACCCACCCCCATAATTTAATCATCTCCCACCAGGTCAGGTTTCTCTCACAACATGTGGGAATTATGGGTGCTACAAGAAGAGATTTGGGTGGGGACACAGAGCCAAACCATATCAGGAGGCAAAAATAGATGAGAAAGCTCCTTGGTTAAAAAAAAAAAAAAAAAAAAAAAGCGAAGCAAGAGTAAAAAGTAAAAATCATCCTCTGAAATACCAAACAAAAGAACAAAAATTATTTTTAAAAAACCCAGCTTTTAAACTGGCATCCAAGTAGAGAAACAAATCACTCTGATGCTACTCAAAGTAGCAGAAAAAAAGCACAGCTTTTAGGCCTGGCTCTTATTTCCTTAGAAACAAAACTGAAACAAGAACGAAGGGAAGCCAAAAAATACTGAGGGGTCTCACTAGCACTCTCCAGTCTGTAGCTAAGAAGGCTGGAGTAGGACAGCAGTCCATTCTGAGAAAGGATAAAGCAAATCTTGTATTGTACAAGACCATGGGTAGTACCCAGGACCTCAAAGAAACAGAAGAAATGGCAACACCTTCCAGTACCCTGCACGGTACTCTGCTACCAGCAAGGAAAGAGCAGAAATACACAGGAACAGAATAAACCTCTAGCCATGGAGCAGGCCTCTGTACTAAGCATTTAGCAGACTCTCAGAAGACAGAAAAAACAAAGTCCATGTTCACTAGCAAGAACTGTGATCAGGGCCAGCTAAGCTCTCTCTCTCCCTGAAACAGCTACATGTTCACATGCAGAAACGTGGATATAAAACACCAGCTAGGGCTCAAGTTGTAGATGGAAACAGGAAGACAAATGGGACCCAAATAAACAGAAGTGTGAACAAAGGAAAATTGACCTACACTGTATCTGGTCAAATAGAAGGCTTGTATAGAGTTCAAGTGAGTTTAACACTTTTATTTAAAATAGAAATAACATGATTCCATTTTTATAAAATGATGCTCCCCTCTCTTGGTTAGTCTCTTTTTTTCCCCTCTCTCGTGGCATCTTTTCAAGCATCCATTCTTCTGCCTTTTCCCAATACACAGAGAGCTAGAAGAATAGTCATCAAACATTAATTGTGGTTATTTCTAAGTAGTGACATATGGAATGATCAGCTGATTCTATATTGCTTGAATTTTTTAATGAGTAGAAACTTTTTTGGGGGGCGGGGAGGAAAGGTGGGGCAGAGGAAAGGAGATTAGATTTTTTTATATAATAAGAAAAAGAATAAAGAAGAGGAAGAAAGAGAAAGAGGAAGAGGGAGAGGAGTAGAAACATTTTTATTAAAAAACAGTGAGGCCACCACAAAGGAAAAAAACTACCTTGTTTCTAATTTCTGAACAAGATAGTCTACTTGCCAAAAGGAAAGACTTCTGGCATTTTAAAGAAATTCCAAAGTAGATTTACATTCTTCTGAAACAGGCATTTGATGATAAGGGAAGAATAATCGTGGAGCGAGTTGAGTATAAGCAGTAGCACATTTGATGAGTCAATAACTTTTTGAAGCCCACGTGAGGCCCTCCTGATTAGCCAAAATTTCACTTTTTACTTATTATTTCAGCTTTCTGGAAAAGGCATTTCAGCCATGCTGATGATCTTCTCCCTCTTGGAGTTCTTCACAGCTTGTGTCACAGCACATTTTGCCTACCAAACAATCACCATCACCATCACCAACATGGTGAGTTGGCTCTCTTCTTTGTAAAACTATCTGAAAGTGCCCTGGAGAAATACAGACTTGTGTCAGCTAAATCCTAATATGGGCTTACCAGAATGCTCTTTGTCCTTGACTATAATGGTACCAGGGGAAATCATGTAGGATTGTAATAACCATATTGCCTGTTTTTATTCATTCCTTCCAGTCTGTCCTGGCTGCTCCAACTGTGTATGCAAACAACCCTTTGACACCAGTGTCTCCTTCTGCTCCTCCAAGATACAACGACTACTCAGGTTATGCCCCTAGATATTAAAAGAAAAAGGGGCATCAGTCTAATTTCATGGGGAAAAACTACTTGCACAAACTTCTTAAGAAGATGTCTTTCATGGTTCACAATTATTTCTGGACTTCAAAGACTGTGTTTGAGACTTGTTTTTAGGTTGGTCGCTAATGATAGCTCTGTCTCCCCTCTCAGTGTCTTCCTACATTTCCACCACTACATGCTGGCAAAGGTGAAGGACCAGAGAGGACTGAAGAATGATTCTGCAACTCTCTTAAAGTTAGACATTTTTCTGTTCATGTTACTTTTTCCTTAATAAAATGTCATTAGAAACAAAAGCCTTTTTCAGTATGTTTTAAAATTTGATTTTGGTTTTATATTGGTTGTGGAGTAGTAGATCTGACCTATGCTCCAAGAAGATTGATAAACCTTTTTTGGTGATGATTTTTCTAGGTGTCCAGTCACTGGAGTTCCCTAATTCATCTCCTTGTCTTTCTGTTCAGAAAGCAAATGTCCAATTGCCCTCGTTGGAGGTTATATTATTTTATACATTAATATCATCAAACATCTTGCCTCTTAAATAACTACAAAATATTGCTACTTACAGAGTATTTTCATGTACATTAAACTCACCTGCAAGGGGACAACAGTAGGACAAGGATGCTGCATAGAGGGTTTTCATTTGAGTTTTGGCTTTTTGTTTTTGAATTGTGGGTACATTTAAAAGCCAATTAGAACAATCAAGGTAAGAGAGAAGGGATGAATGACATTGTAAGTTTTCATAAATCAAAAGGACAGATGGAAAACATCACCTAAGTCATGAGATTGTCACAGATATCCACAGATTTGCAACAATGGTAGTGAGTACATAAGGAGGATCTGATACGATGGCTCACATTATCCCTGTCAAAGTAGTAGTGACATCATGCCAAGGTAGGGGCATAAGTAGAGTGAGAATATTGAACAGAATGGTAACATGGAAAAAGTCATGGAACTGGAGAATAAAGTGATCAGAGCAACAGGATTGCCAAGCTTTGTGGAGGGCACATTTGAGGATCTGGTAGCAAATTCAGAGTATGAACAAATTGCTCCAGCAAGGGCTTGCTGCTAGATCGGGGTGAACTATGGGTCCAGGGAAACGATCTGTTTGATTTTATCCAGGGTTAAGATTTTGCTAGAGGGATGACAAAATAGCAGAAGGGCAAGAAAGCTTAGGACAGTGTAAAAAATATTTTTTAAATGATGGATTGTGGAATCCAAACTGGATAAGGAAGGAATAATAGTAATAATAATAGCAATAATAAAGAAAAAAGACAGACTGATCAAAAATGGAGAAATCTGCCTTTTCTCCAGGAGCTGTTGTGAGATCAAATGAGATTCTGTTATATAAATACAGTTTGAAAATAGCAAAGTGTTGTCCCTTTTTGAAATTGTAATATCATTAAAGAAGCCAGAAGGGGAAAAAATATAGACAAAAAGAGTAGGCAGAGAAATCAAAATAAGGAAAGAGGCTGAATGAGAAAAGAATTTTTGCATCTGAGAAAGCAGATGTATTATATCAGGTGAGAGCCACATATTTCAATGTCACTGGCCTGCCTGGGTCCCAGCTATTCAGCAACTTGGGTGATTAGAAATGCTGTATTCTTCATCACGAAGCTCAACAGCTCAGCAAAAGTGAAGACATAAATTTCATGATCTGAGGGTCTAGGAAATAAATGGTGCCCCCCAAATGTGTGTGGGGGGTGGTACATTATATATCTATACATGTAAAATAAACAAACATAAAAGTAACTTATTTTAGGGAACAGAAAACCATTTCCAGCAAAGTTCATTTTTTAAATAAATTTCTATCAAATATATTCTATTTTTCAATTTGCTTTAATAATAGTAATAATAACAGCATATATTTAGCCCATTCTTTGTGCCACTCACATTCCAAGCACTATTTCAGTGCCCCCAATGACCACCTGTGAGGCAGATACTATTATTAGGATCATTTTCAGATGAAAAAACTTTGGTAGAGACGTTAAAAATCTTGCCTTAAAATATGTAGCTAGCAAATGGTGAAGCATGGATTTGAACCCAGGCAGTAGGGCTCCCAGGTCCAGACAGTTGCCCTAACCATTATTCCCACTATTCTTATGGTCTTGGATAGAATCAGACATTTGTAACTCCAAAACAAACAGAAATGCTTCTCTATAGTAAGCTTTTAATAAATTTGGAAGAAATTATCTCATTCTCTGATAGGAGAGAGGAGATTTAGTAATATAATAATACAGTTGACCATTAAACAACATGAGTTTGAACCACGTGGCTCCACTTTTATGCATGTTTTTTCAATGTGGGAAAAGTCATGGAAATGAAGAATAAACTGATTAGAGAAAGAGAGGACTTCCAAGCTATACCGAAGAGTACCTTTGAGGGGATGTTGACAAATATATACTGTGAACAAATTTCTCCAGGTTGACCTGTGATCTGAGACCCTAGAAGGTAACTGGAATAGAAATATTATATTGCAACATGCTTGCTATTATTTAAAGGCCTTATGGTATTTTCATTCTGGAAAATCTTTTAAAAATGTTTATTTATTCATTCATTTGCTTAAAAAGAAGTATTACACTACTACTTTGTGATTTAAAAAAACCTCTGCTATTACATAAAATTTTGGCTTTACATATTTTTTTATGTAGGGTAATATAAAATGAAGTGTAGTAGAATTTATCTAAATGTCAGTGAACAAATGCTTTCTTCATGCACAAGTAATTAATGCTGGATTTGTATATAAAGACTTTGCCTACCAAATATAACTTAAGCTACACACACATACACATTACACACACATCTTGAGTACTTCCTATATTTAGTCTCTTTCCTCCTCAGAAGAACACAAATCATTATTACATCTCTAGGACTCTAGAGTGTCTTCTAATTCTAAATTCTAAGGCTTTAGAGAAAGTCGATAATTCACCATGAAATACATGGACTCAGAATGATCTTTCAAGAGTGTACAAATGTGCCTTAGATAAACATGTGTCATTGATTCATGCCTTGCCAAAACAATATTTCTGAAAGCTGTCTTTCCTAGAGCATATTTGCACTTGTCACAACCCTCTAATAATCAATTACAATTGTCCCCTTTTCCCACAGAGTAGATATTGGCCAAACCTACCCTGAATTTGGACAACTGGAGATGGGGTGCAGAGTCCCTAGGCATCTATTTGCAGAGGTGATTTGCATGAAGGAAAAGATGCCACAGAAATTTTGAGTTCAGGTATCTGATGCTCAAGCTGAAAGATCAGAGTCCAGTAGCCAGCCTCACCTCGGTGACCAGGTCTGATCTCTATGGAGAAAGGGCTGTGCTCCTCATTTGTGCGTGGATTATAACCAGGCTCCTCCTCTGTAAGGAAGACTGAAGAAAACGCAAGGCTGTTTGAACACCTCCAGGGCTCTGGTGCTTAGGGAGCCCGGGGAGACAGCACCTGTGGTAAGGCAGCCTTCTTTTGCTGCAGAAACTGCAGCAAAGACTGAGAAGACTACGATGTATCTGGAAAGTGGCTGCCCCCTACACAGCAACAGCTCAGCTCAGGCCTGCTGGAGAGCAAATGTGAAAATTCTGGGGACTCCCAGAAATGCTCTGGAAATGGGGATTCGCAGAGAACTGGGGTCATTCTTCAACAGACGGTGATGGAAACCAGGCCAACTGGGCCATAAGGTTAATACGTCCTGCTAATTCCCACAGGTTGGAGAGGTCTTGGATACCAGCGTTTTCCTAAAGTTGACTGATTTCTTTTTCTATTCATTTGCATTTAAAACAAACCAAGAAAATTTATAATTTATAACTGTTCTCTCTTTTCTCCTAGCTCTCTCCCCTCTCCCTCAGTTCCCTGGCTTCACTCTTAAAAACAATTACTGTTACTAAATTCTGCCAGCTCAGCAATGCTCAAGGGGTTTCATTCAATCTCTTTCTCCATACACATTTCCCGGGGGTCTCCATTTGGTTTAGACCTCATGCAAGATTTCACTTTATATTTCATAACTCCTTCTATTCTCCCAAGTATTTAGCAACACTTTAGAATATGGTATGGACTTTTAGGCCAAATGTCATTTCATACATTCAAACAAAGCTACAATGTGTACTTCAGGAAGCTAACTTTACAGGCAAAAAGTGAAGTCAAAAAGTAGAGAGTGGAATACACATAGCCAGAACTGGAGCTGGAAACCATCCCTAGACCTTGTGATTTCTTCAACAACATTCTTTTTGCAATTCCATGACAGTCACAGCACAGCGCTCTTTCTGAAGAAGGCTTGGAGAAAGAAAACGGGGTAGGAGGATAGGCTACAGATTCTGGAGCTAGATTTAGACTGCTGGAGTTAGAACCTCAACTCTTTTTTTTTATTGCATTTTAGGTTTTGGGGTACATGTGATGAACATGCAAGATTGTTGCATAGGTACACACATGGCAGTGTGGTTTGCTGCCTTCCATCCCCTCACCTGTATCTGTCTTAACATTTATAAGCTGTGTGACTCTTAAACTTCGCCAAACCTCAGCATTCTCATCTGTTAAAATGAAAATATCAGTAAGTATGTACATCATAGGCATGTAGTGAAGTTTAAATAAAATAAGCAATATAAGGCAATTAACATATTGCCTCAACATAGTAAATGCAAGGAAAAAAAGCAAGATAAGTTTAAACTATTAATTAGCATTTTACTACAGAATAGTATATAAGTTCTATGGTAAACATATGAAAACTGAAATCTCTCTCTACTTATATGTGTGTACCTGCATGTTTATACATATATACATATAGATTAGACTTTACATAAATATACATAGGTATGGATATTGCTTTTCTACAATGAATTCAACTGCTTAGTTTCCCAGATTTGCATAACTTTCCACTTTTCTTTACTAGAACACCCTGGTGTTTACATAGAGGAAACATCTGTTATCCCTAGTGTATAAATAAATAAAATTCCTCAAAGAAATACGGGCAAGTTATTTGATAAGGGCTCACAGCCAGCAGGGTCCTTGTAATAATTCCCAACAATGGTTTTAACAACATTGTATAGGAATTGTAGTTCCAGCACATTTTCCCTAATGTCTTTTGTATATTGGGAACCAATTCAAGAGAAATTAACAATATGATCCACATGAAGAAATAAAAGTCACATTGGATGTCAAACCATGACTGATTGATTGCCTCTCCATTGCTGAAGAATACAGTGTTTTTAACAAACAAATGATAAAAATTAAAATGAATTCTGAATTTCCAAATCCAGTTTACAGGTACTGAGAAAATCAATGGTGCTTTTACTAGTCTGTGATATTACCAGAAGAAATAAGATGTGCAAGGAACTGGGCCTGTCTCACAGTTTGGCTCAGTCTTCTATTTTTGCCTATGTTTATACTGAATACACATTTTGGCCCCAGGTCCAAAAAAAATAATCAAATCCATGATAATTTCCATGAGACTGTTGGCCAAATCCCTAAATGAAGAAACATGTCACTTCTCTCACAAATAATCCATCAATCTTGGCAGCAAGTTACAATGGGGGTCCATCTCATCAGAGCTGGCTCTTTCTACTATGGATTCTTAAAAAAAAATCCATAACCCTGAGGTTGAAGACACGATTCCTCTTTCTACAGAAAAGAGAATGCTTAATATTATCAGACAATATTTATAGACAAGACAATGTTCATAGACAAGAAATTCACAAAATAATAATAATGTTAGAAAATGAAGTGATATATTACTTAAGAATAAAACTATTACCTTCAATGACATACTGACCAATACAAAATGAGCCTGGGCTTTTTGTTTTTCTTTGATTTGAGGGGACTTTGGAGTCTCAATGTAAGGGAGGTAGCTGTGAGACTAAAAATAAAGTTTCCCAGTTTACAGTTGATTTTTCAGGCTATAAAAGATCTTGACGGCTTTTAGACACACTCATGATTTAGCAAATAAAGGTGTTGGAAGCACAGAAAATTTCCTTATCAAAGAAAAACCTGTCTCATTTTCTGCATGTTTTACATCATTCACTAAAAATTTGCATTCCAAGCTGGATTAATTTTTCCACAATGCCAATCTAAATTTTCCATGAATAAATGAGAAATCGCATTGAGGAGCTGTTCTCCAGATACTTTAAACGCCTAAGTACTCACAGCTGCCTAACAGGATGGTCTGTACTCCTCAGCTAACGCACCTCTTCATAAACACTGTTTTAACTACTCAAATAGAAAACTAACACCATGTATCACCTAAAAGGTAAACCCACCTCAGCAAGTTGATCAAAAAGTCATTCTGGTGTTTCCTTAAGCATTACTCTCGTCGCTAACTTCCTTCTTTGGTCTCTTACGTTTAAAGAAAAACAAAACGAGCCATTGACTCAGCCGCTTCATTCCAAAGTGCACCTTCCAAAGTGCACTTCTGGTCAAAAGTTTTCTTTGAAGACAAAAAATGTGAAGGGCGGACTTTTCCTCAGTGATCCTGGTCCCTGTGCAGCAGGTGTGTGTATAAGAAATCCACCAATATGGGCAATCTCAGAATAGATGTTTGGAGAAACCATTCCTAGAGACACCAAACAGTAGTTGACCGGTTGTCTGACCACGTGGCTGCCAGGCCCCTAGTGAGTCTGCGCACACACACTCCCTCCGCCCCTGCGGGTCCTAGGCGGGTGCGCAGGCGCAGTAGGAGCACGCCGTTGCCATTGGAGACCGTCACCTGCTGAGGAGCCTGAGGGTGGGCTTGGTCCTGGGCTCCGGTCTATCCCTGTGATGGTCGCTCAGCGGGGTCTGGCGACCTGGCGCTGAGCGGCTGCCAGCGGGGATCTTCCTCTTCATCTAGGCCCAGGCACTGGCGTGAGAACCCGAACTGGGTGCTGGACGAGCGCCCCCCACCCGAAACTCCTTGGGACCTTCAACAAGTAAAATGCAAGGTAGTGATGTCGCTTTGCTGGAGTGGTTTCGTGTCAAAAGCCATAAAGGGGCATGGAGGCTGATCACGGTGCTCCTCTCCCCACAGCCTCCCTGTTCTCTTGTCATCTTCTCCCTTCCCTCATCAGAGTCTGGGTCTTAACAACACCCCCCCACCACCACCACCAACCCCACGCCCCATTCTTGTTTTGATCCAATATTGAGTATCTGGGTTCCAGCCCAAGACTGTCCTTGAACACACCAAAATGAATTCCTTGACTTCTGGGAGCCCCCATTGACTTGGAAGCCAATGCTGAAAATCGAAAGAATACACTGTGATAGGACTTAGGTCCGAATGTTAGAGGAACACGGAGTGGGGCATCTAACGGGCTTGTGGGTCAGAGTAGGAATGACCAGGATGAGGTTGAGAAGGTGGGCAGGGAGCCGTTCGCGACAGGCTTTATTTACATGCCCTGCTAAATAATTTAGACTTAATTCTGAAGGCGCCGAGGGGTTGCACCCCCTGCTAAATTAGATGCTAAAGATAGAGAATGGTTTCCAGATAGGAGCTTTCTGCGACTATTTCAGAATTTCTACATAAAGCAAGTTTAGGGGATAAGAATGAGTTTGGGAGTAAGGGTTAGGGGACTCATCCCTCAGCTGCTTTTGGATTAGTGACTTAAGTGATTTTAAATAAATTAGTGATTTTATTCAAGATCACTCAAAAATAAAAACAAATAAATGATGTATTTATTTATTTTTACAAATAATGGTACGCTTAACTGAGTTTACAATACACAAACACAGACTGATTTAAAAAACGAAAAGAATTCCAACCATCAGTTATTGCAGGAATATGTTGTAGTATTTCTTAGTTTTTTTTTTTTCATCAATTAACCTGAGAATTTTAAACACCCCCACTTTCTTTCTCTGATTGGTATTTTTTAGGAATACCAAACCTGGCATGGTTTGGGTAGAGGCATGATAGAGATTACACTGAGGCCAGATATTCTCCTCCCCAAGTCACTTCGTGGTGCTTCCACTGTTAACAACTAAACTGAAAAGAATTTTCTATACAGTCATCCCTCCGTGTCTACTGGGCAGATATCAACATCAAAGGGTGCTCTAGACCCAATTGTAAAGTGGTGTAGATTTGCATGTAACATGCAAATCGCCTATACTTTAAATCATCTCTAGTTAATATCGAATACAATGCAAAGGCTATGTAAATAGTTGCTATACCGCTTTGACTATTTTATTTGTATTTTTATTGGCATATTCCTTTTAATATTTTGATCCACAATTGGTTGACTCAAACCTAAAAGAGGGCCTACTTATAAATGAAAGGGCTTATTTTTATTTTGTTTTCTGTAAAGTGGCAAATAATAGCAATGTAGACATGCTGTTCTTTATTATTCTATGTGGATTCTGTAATTTTATGGCTTTTAATCACTTCTAAACACTGTTATTTTTCAAAGATAGTGTTTGAACGTATAAAGCTTATTTTAGTTAATAACATATTGTTTTCTCTCTTTTGCTATAACTAATCTGTATTCCTAACTAGTTTTTTCTGTCTCTGTAGCATTAAGAGACATTGAGAAAACAAATTTTAGAAAAGAAAGGCTTATTGAAATAATTAAGTCATGAGATTTTAATACTACAGAGAATGAGAGTTCAATTGGCCAAATTCCCTCCTTACTGAAAAGATCAAGCCTCAGATTTTAAGATCATGTTAGTCAGGTGGCATAACTCAAGTTATTGACCTATGTAAGCAGAACGTACTAGTGATATAGAATTCCATATCTAAAAATAAATAAAATCCACAAAGGGATATAATTATTAGCCAGGTTTTTAATCTTAATATAAATTTGGAGATGATCTGAACAACTGAGAGAAATGTAAGGATAACAGGGGGAAAAAAGACCAGGAAATACATTAACATTGTGGGAGCAACTTTAATAAGTTGTCTGATAGAACAAAAGATTCTTTTCGTATAGAAAGAACTGGGTACCAGGTATGTGTCAGAAAAAAAAAAACACAAGCTCACATACTTGGTGAGTTTAAGTACAAGAACTTGGTTTTGAAAATGCAAATATGGCACTATGAATCACATTGAATTGATTATGAATTACAAATGAATTGTTGAAAGTTTTACTGAAAATTCTCTAATACTATTCCCTAGATATTCTTTATACTTTATCATCTCTGTTACTGTTTGCTCTGTAAACAGTAGGCACTATTTACTACTCAGTGATCATATCTATAAAATGCTGATATGTTTTAGTCATAGAGAAAGGCTTTTCAGTTGCAGAGGCTGTTATTCAGAACAGGTGGATGAAAGTTGATGCCTCTAATATTAAGGCATAGAAAAAAGAAAGCTATTGCTTCTGAATTTGGGGAGATGGTGGCCGAATTACAAGAGAAGAATCAAACTTATGTATTTTATTCTAAGAAAATCGTGTGTATGTGCTTTGTATTGTTCTGTAGAAGTTTGCTAATAAAGATATCACCAAAGGCTAGAGAGAAGATCATCTAGAGGAAATGCTGGCAGTATGGCCTGTGTTGATTCAAAAATCTCAACAGCAGATTCTCTCGTTTTAGGGGTAAGATTACATTTTGACTGACTAAATTCAAGATCAGTAACGATTTCTTTTTTTAAAAGGATATCTTGGATCTGAAGAAGGACAGAACTGTTTAAATCAAAAGGGTAAAAGTTTATTGTTGATTGTCTTCTACAAATTTTGACTGATCTCATGTTCCTTCATAAACAAATATGTGCTGAGATATAAGTGTACAGACTAAACCAGCACACACAGGATAATAGAGAAATCAAAGTAAGGTTTAAAAGGAAAAAAGAGAGTACTGTACTTACATCTATACAGTAGGATGATTATAAAGTTGTCTCTTAATTTATAAACGTGAATTACAGTTTAGCTTTCTTAATAAACACCAAGAAATTATGTGGATCATGCTTTTTCACATCCAAAGGGGAGAAAACTTTTCCACTGATGTGAACTTTTCCTCTGAATTTGAATGTTGTGTAGATCAATTATCTAAGTCTTCTCAACTATTCAGCAGAGGTTCTTAACCTCTTTGGGGTCACAGACCATTTTGGCATAGAATGAAAGCTCTGAATCTTCTTCCCAGGATTATGTACATGTCACAGTCCTTCACATTTTTTTCTTGGGAGCAGTGGGTAGGGGAGTCTGATCTCCTGGAATTCATATTGGCTCTAGATTAAGAATCATTTTAAAATAAGAAAACCTATCTTTTCCTTCTCCATACACTGGCAATTCTTTACAAATTTTGGCTAATTAGATATTTCATAGTTTTATATAAAACAATAGTCAATCATATAAAAAGAGATAGTATTTTTCAAGCCCACTTACTTTTTTTGGCAGTTGGGAAAGTCACATGGAATCACTATTCTTGATACCAGTATGCTTACATAAGACTTATTTGCCGGATGCCTTCTCTATTCTGGGTACCATATGAGAGGTTGGTGATAAAACAACAAGAGAAACAAACTCCAGGCCCTGTAGGATTTTGCAGTCTAGTGGGGAATATTTCTCCAGTCAAATCCAAAGAACTCCTGGAAATATTACCATTCTTGCAAATTGGATGCAAGGGGAAACTTTATATTCTAAATCTATAAAAATGCATGATCGTTACTAAAATAGAGGCCTTTCCTTTAAAAAAAATAAACTTCTCTAAAATATATTTTTAGAATTAGCCAATTGCACATGCATGTTTCATAGATTGCCTGCTTTGCAAAGAGCTAGAACTCTTAAAACATTAAATAGCTTCCTGTTAAAATTTATATGAAAATAAAATTTATGTATCCTCTGTCACTTTTGAAGAGTAATTAAAAATGTGATCAAGTATATGAAATATCAGTTCACATATAAATTCAGAAATAAATTTACTGGGATTATCATTATCTTCTTACAAATTAGAGTTGAGTAGTAATTCTCCCCTATTTGTACTCCTTCCCCTATCCAATGGAAAAACCAAGTTCAAGCAAGTCCATTTTGGATATTTTCTGCATTGCTGTGTTGGATTATGTCTCTGTGTATCTGTAAAAAAATTCATACCAAGTGCTCCTTGAATGAAAAGATAAATCAAGCCTTTCTAAGATTCAAAAAGTTACTCGTCTTTAATTAATTACTAATGTACAAGAAAATGTTGGATTTATGGCTTCCTGCATCCTAGTAGATTAGTAACCATATTTTCTCTGAAGCACCCCCAGTATTCTTCTCTTGTGCCATTATTTGATAGGTAGGGAGAATAGACAGTGATCTAATCAAACTGTTAACTTACAAGAGAATTGGCCAGAGCTAGTATGACCGATTCCTATTTGGTAAATCTCAGTCCCTGATTTGGTCCTTCTTTCTGGGATAATCAATCCAGGAAATACATCGTTAAGTACATTGGTGCATTGCTGTTTTACTGTTGTATTTGCAAAGGTGCTAAATGCTTCTTATAGTTAACACTTATTGGAATTGTGTTTTAAATTACATTATTTTGGTACTAATAGCATTCTCTTCTCACAGGCTATCCAGATTATGATTGGTGTCTTTCATGTTTTCATGTGGTACTTCCTATTGGTTTTGTATATGGGACAAATTAAAGGAGTCTTTGGAACATATGAGCCTATAACTTACAAAACAGGATGTACTTTATGGGGAACTTTCGTGAGTAGAATACCTATACATTTTTTAAATCATACAATAAATAATCATGCCAATAGTAGAAGATAGGGAACAATTTATAAACAAGGTTTTCAGGAGAATTATATAACTGAATCCCATGTTGATAATTTATTCAAAGTCAGATTCCTTTTTTCAGCAAATATATATTGAGCACCTTTAATTTACAAAGTGCTGTTTCAAGAGATATGGATACAGGAGTAAATAATGCCAACCATAAAGTAGTTTGTCTCTAGATATGTGAAAGACAAAGAATCTTAACTATAATATCCATTAGAATGATTAACTTGCATATTTACAATCTTCACTTTAGTCTCCTCACCCAGTGAGTCAATACTCATTTTCTAAATTTTTCATTACTGACACTCTCCTGTGGTTTCTAGACAGCCATTAGGTAGGAGGAAAACCTGGAGAGTATGGCACCCTGGAAGCCAAGTGAAGATTTTGTTAGAAGAAGTGAGGAAGGATCAACTGTATTATATTTTGTTGTTTTGTCAAATAAAATGACGACTACGAATTGACCATTGGATTTAGCAATATGGAGGTCAGTAGTAAATTTTACATGTAGTTTTGGTGGAATTGTAAGGCAAAAGCCTGGTAGGAATTGATTTAAGAAAATAATAGGAAAAGCGGAATTACAGACAGCAAATAGACAACTTCCTTAAGGACTTTACTGTAATGTGGCATACAGAAATGGGGTGATAGCTGGGGAAATTTGGCTCAAGAGAGGATTTGCTTACTATTTTTTGTCAGTTGAAAGAAACAGCATCATCCTTTGTTGAGAGGACTGAACCAAAAGAAAGAAAATTGATGCTATGGGTAAATAGGGGTGGGTATTGGAAACAAGTGTTTGTGTAGGCAAGACCTGATGAATTTTGGTGCACAAATAGCTAGGAGCATAGAAAGTTCATCCAGGGCAGTTGTTCTCAGCTAGAGGCGATTTTGCCCCTGAGAACATTGTATAATGTCTGGAGATATTTTGGATTTTCACAGCTGGAGGTGCGTATCAGGTGGGCAGGGGCAAAAGATGCTGCTAAATAGCCTGCGATCCTCAGACAGTCCCTCACAATAAAGAATTATCCAGCCTAATTATAGATGGTTTCAAAGTATGAAAACAGGAGGGAAAGGCAGAGAAAGAGAAAGGACAGTTTTCTTTAATAGGATGTTGGAAGCTTGTGGAAGTTTTTTGTTTGTTTTCCAGTAGCTTCAAATATCTCAGTGAATTAGGAAGCAGGATCATCAACTGAGACTGAGAATGGGCAAGTGAATCAGTTGTTTGAAGAAAAAAGAGAGAATGTGAAATAATCATCAAGGAAAAGTGAGAGAGTACATGGATTGTGGAGAGATAGTTTTATTTTCATACAGCATTAAGGACACACTTGAGGTTTGGGAACAAGATATGGGTTGTATGCCTTTCTGAGACCATGGTCAGCTGCATGAGTGCAGACCTGCAGTAGGAGCAAAACAATCAGGATTTTTGTTTAGCCATGCAACTATAATAAAACAGGAAAGGTGCAAAGGAGTTGCAAGTGGATATAAAGGAGTGTTTGTAATGATTGGCCATGAAATTTAAGTTAGTGATGGAAAGAAGAATTTAACAGAGAGTTGAAGTTCTCAGATTATAGATCCAGGTGGGGTCAAAGGGTTGTTCAAATTTTTATAGTAGAGGACATGAGCTAGAAAGATAGCAGGTGGTGATCAGGTGGAATACTTGAAATTAAGATGTGAAAGGTACAACAAAGACAAGAGAATGTCCTTATGGGAGTAAGTGACTAAGACAGTTTGGAGTCAGGGATTGGAAAAGAGAACAAGAACCACAAGCCCAAGATACTAGAAAGATGATATGGTTTGGCTTTGCATCCCTACCCAAATCTCATCTTGTAGCTCCTATAATTCTCACGTGTTATAGGAGGGACCCAGTGGAAGATAATTGAATCATGGTAAGGGTGAGTCATTCCTGTGCTGTTCTTGTGATAGTGAATAACTTTCACAAGATATCATGGTTTTAAAAATGGGAATTTTTCTGCTCCTGGCCCCTCTCAAATTTCATGTCTTCACATTTCAAAACTATTCATGCCTTCCCACCATTCAACTTCTATTGGGACTTGTTGGGAAGTTCCACAAATCTTCCCAACAGTTCTCCAAAGTCTTACATCAACATTAACTCAAAAGTCCACAGTCCAAAGTCTCAGCTGAGACAAGGCAAGGTCCCCTCCCCCATGAGCCTATAAAATCAAAGACAAGTTAGTTACTTCCTTGATACAATGGGGATACAGGCCTAGATAAATACAGCTGTTCCAAATGGGAGAAATTGGTTGAAACAAAGGCTACAGCCTCCATGAAAATCCAAAATCCAGTGGGGCAGTCAAATATTAAAGTTCAAAAATGATCTCCTTTGATTCCATGTCTCATCCAGGCCATGCTGATCAAAGAAGTGGGCTCCCATGGCCTTGGGCAGCTCTGCCACTGCAGCTTTGCATGGTGTAGCCCTTCTTCTGGCTTTCACAGGCTGGTGTTGTCTGCATCTTTTTCAAGCACAGAATGCAAGCTGTCAGAGGATCTACCATTCTGGGGTCTGGAGGTTGATGGCCCTCTTATCACAGCTCCACTAGGCGGTACCCCAGTAGGGACTCAGTGTGGTGGCTCCAACTCTACATTTCCCTTCTTCACTGCCCTAGCAGAGGTTCTCCATGAAGGCCCAACCCTTGCAGCAAATTACTGCCTGGGCATCCAGGCACTTCCATACATCCTTTGATATCTAGGCAGAGGTCCCAAACCTCAATTCTTGACTTCTATGTACCCATAGGCTCAACACCACATGGAAGCTGCCAAGACCTGGTGCTTGCATTCTCTGAAGCCCTGGCCCAAGCTCTACATTGATTCCTTTCAGCCAAAGCTGAAGCACCTGGGTTGCAGGGCACAAAGTCCCTAGGGCACACAGCACAGGAGCCCTGGGCCTGGCCCACAAAACCACTTTTTCCTCCTAGGCCTTGGAACCTGTGATGGGAGGGGCTGTTGTGAAGACCTCTGACATGCCCTGGAGACATTTTGCCCATTGTCATGAGAACTGACGTTGGGTTCCTCATTACTTATGCAAGTTTCTGCAACCAGGTTAAATTCTCTCAGAAAATGGGTTTTTCTTTTCTATGGCATTGTCAGGCTGCATTTTTTTTTAAACTTTTATGCTCTGCTTCCCTTATAAAACTGACTGCCTTTAACAGCACCCAAGTCACCTCTCAAATGCTTTGCACTTAGAAATTTCTTCTGCCAGATACCCTAAATCATCTCTCTCAAGTTCAAAGTCCACAAATCTCTAGGGCAAAATGTCACCAGTCTCTTTACTGAATCATAACAAGAGTCACATTTGCTCTAGTTTTCAACAAGTTGCTCATCTCCATCTGAGACCACTTCAGCCTTGATTTTGTTGTTCATATCATTATCAGCATTTTGGTTAAAGCCATTCAACAAGTCTCTAGGGAATTCCAAACGTTGGCACATTTTCTTGACTTCTTCTGATATGTCCAAACTGTTTCGTCTGCCTGTTACCCAGTTCCAAAGTCACTTCCACATTTTCTGGTATCTTTTTCAGCAGCAACCCACTCCTGGTACCAATTTAGTGTATTAGTCCACTTTTATGCTACTGATAAAGACATGCCTGAGACTGATCAATTTACAATAGAGGTTTATTGGACTTACAGTTTCTCATGACTGGGAAGGCCTCACAATCATGGCAGAAAGCAAGGAGGAGTAAGTCATATCTTACGTGGATGACAGCAGGCAAAGAGAGAGGACTTGTACAGGGAAATTCCAATTTTTAAAACCATCAGATCTCATAAGACTTATTCATCATCACAAGAATACCATGGGAAAGACCCACACCCACGATTCAATTATCTTTCACTGAGTCCCACCCACAACACATAGGAATTATGGGAGCTACAAGATGAGATTTGGGTGGGGACACAGAGCCAAACCATGTCAGAAGATTGTGTGTGTGTGTGTGTGTGTGTGTGTGTGTGTGTGTGTGTGTGTAAATCACCAAAGATTAAGTCATCTTGAAGAGAGAGTCAAAATTTCACCTCATCCCAAAAGATGAATGGCTGAGGGGTCAATAGATTACTTAAATCATGAGGGATAGTGAGTGATAGAACCTGACATGTGACTCAAAGGTGGAGGAGAAAGAATGGTTGGATAGCAGTAATGAGCAAGGAAACCACTCAAGACATACATGGAACAGATGTGGGCTTAACAGGAATGAGGGCTGTAGGATACAAAATGGCTGCCCCCTGAGACAACAAGTGATCACTAGAAGAAGCAGTGATCTCTAGGAGGTTTCCCACTTTTATACACATACTAGCTTATAAGTGTCAACTGATTGCCTTGGGGAAAAAAATTGCAGAAAAATACTGAATTTTCACACAAAATCCAAATGATACATGGTTCATAAAGAATGCATGGCTCATAAATAACACACTGGTTTATAGGTGATAAATGATAAATGACTCACTGGCTCACAAATGTCAAAGCACTGCCTTGGGAGAAAACGGAGAAAAATTGTGGATTTTCAGACAAAATCTAAATAAATGATGCATTTTCCTTAGTTTTTAACCATTCACATTATAAAAATAGTATATTTAACCACTAGGATAACTTATCTAAAATTTAAATTAAATATAATTTAAAACTAAACTTCTCACTTAAGCCTAAACTTTGAATGGCATTTTTTAAAGCACATGGTAATCTAAAGATAATCTCATTAGAAAGCACTTTGGTTCAAAATTCACAAGATATTTTCACTTTATATTCTGAGCTAGCTCTTACTTTCACTGTGTACCTCCTTAAAAATCTCAACTTTTGTTGTGGAATGAAGTGCTGAACATATAGATTTAAAATTATCCATGGGCAGTTTGTAAGGTTCAGGTTTGGGCTTCCAATGTATAGTGTATAGTGTGACAAAAATAGCCTTTGACTTGGATCTTTAGTGTTTTATCACTAAAACAAATAAGACAAGGAATATTTTGAGAAAATTGTGCAACCCATCTTCAAACAATATGGCATAGTTTTATGCTAGTTTTATACTTCTTGGAAGTAGATAGACTTCCTAACATGAAATACCTCTGTTTTAAAAAACAAAGGCAAAGGCATGAATTTCTACCATTACCTTAATAATGACTACAATCTCATAAAAAAGACTGCATGTCTTGTACCATCACGATGTGGAATAGACTCTTGAACCACTTTTTCCATATTTGGATATGTACATAGTAATCATAATTAGTGGCATCATCTCATTAGAAAAGATAGCATTAAAAACAATAATCAAATGAGATATATATGATGTAGCTCATACACATAAAAGCAAACTTGGTTCCCAGTTCAGGACTGTGTAGGCTGTCTTTGGCATATTACCACAATGTGAATCTGCACACTGTCCCCTATATGTTTCTGTTATGAGTGACCCTACTGTTACCTTCCACTGTAATACTGCATGATGTAAATTTGTCCTAACCTGTCTACTAAAACTTCTTTATATTTTGCTACAATTAGCATTCTTCAAATAATTGACTTACAAGAGAGTTGTTAAAAATACATTCTAAATTGGCAAGCATTATCAATAAGTATTTATAAATATGTTTTTATATCCAGTTTATCATTGCAGGAGCCTTCATAATAAGAGTAACAAAGCATCCAACTCGATCCGGAGTAAGTTGAAATGTTTGAGGTATCTCTAGAAATCACTTGTCACAAAGCTAAATATTAATTTAAATGAAAATATAATATCTAAACAATGAAGGAATCTACGCTATCTGTAAAATAAGTGAAGGAATTAAGGGTGAATCTAGAAGAACATAATTTAATATAGACAAATATGCTGTATTAGTTAAAATCATGACTTTACATATAGGTTTCTAAATGAATATATAGTTTTTGTTTTGTTTGATATTAAACATTTTAACATTGTACAAACTTTATAATTAGAAAACTTTTAATAGGACCTAATGACTTTAGATATAGACATTTTACTATTATAAATCTTCATTTTCTGAACTATCCTGTTTGGGAAAGGATTGTATCTTGTAACAAAGTAGGGAATTGGTCCAAATGAAAGATTAATGCATTGTTTAAGTGGATCGATATTGGGAAAATGGACACGTTAGAATCTTAGAGCTAAAACATACATTAGAAATTAGTCTGCTCTCATAATTTTACAGATAAAAAACTGATGTCTAAAGATATTGATAGATTTCCTTAGATAATGAAAACCCAGGATTAAAATTTTATCAACTAAATCCTATTTCTACAGGCAGTCATTTTTCATCTTCTTTTTTTCCTACAGTGCAACCACTTTTGTGCAAATCATATCTTATATGCTTTCTTCCAAATGGCTTACAATATTGGAAAATAAAAATTTTTTAATTATAGTTTAAGTTCTAGGATACACGTGAAGAATATGCAGGTTTGTTATATAGGAATATATGTGTCATGGTGGTTTGCTGCATCCGTCACCACATCATCTACGTTAGGAATTTCTCCTAATAATATCCCTCCCCTATCTCCCCCAGCCCCTGATGTCTCTCCCTTAGTCCTCCACTCCCCAACAGGTTCCAATGTGTGATGTTCCCCTCCTTGTGCCCATGTGTTCTCAATGTTCTACACCCAATTATGAGTGAGAACATGCAGTGTTTGGTTTTCTATTCTTATGTCAGTTTGCTGAGAATGATGGTTTCCAACTTTATCCATGTCCCTGCAAAGGACATGAACTCATCCTTTTTTATGGCTGCATAGTATTCCATGGCATATATGTGCCACATTTTCTTTATCCAGTGTATCACTGGTGAGCATTTGGGTTGGTTCAAAGTCTTTGCAATTGTGAACAGTGCCACAATAAACATATGTGTGCATGTGTCTTTATAATAGAATGATTTGTATCATTTGGATATATACCCAGTAATGGGATTGCTGGGTCAAATTGAATTTCTATTTCTAGATCCTCAAGGAATCGCCACACTGTCTTTCACAATGGTTGAACTAATTTACTGAAGTAATTTCACACCAACAGTGTAAAAGTGTTCCTATTTCTCCACATTCCCTCCAGCATCTGTTGTCTCCTGATTTTTAATTATTGTCATTCTAACTGGCATGAGATGATATCTCCGTGTGGTTCTGATTTGCATTTCTCTAATGACCAGTGATGATGAGCTTTTTTTCATATGTTTGTTGACTGCATAAATGTCTTCTTTTGAAAAGTGTCCATTCAAATTCTTTGCCCACTTTTTGATGGAGTTGTGTTCTTTTTTCTTTTTTTCTTTTAATTTTTTTTAATTGCAATTTAGGTTTTGGGGTACATATGAAGAACATGCAAGATTGTTACATAGGTACACACATGGCAGTGTGATTTGCTGCCTTCCTTCCCCTCACCTATATCTGACATTTCTCCCAATGCTATCTCTCCCCAACTCCTCACCCCCCATCCCTCCGCCATTTCCCCCCAACGGACCCCAGTGTGTAGCGCTCCCCTCCCTGTGTCCATGTGTTCTCATTGTTCAACACCGGCCTATGAGTGAGAACATGTGGTGTTTGATTTTCTGCTCTTGTGTCAGTTTGCTGAGAATGATGGTTTCCAGGTTCATCCATGTCCCTACAAAGAACACGAACTCATTGTTTTTGATGGCTGCGTAATATTCCATGGTGCATATGTACCACATTTTCCCTGTCCAGTCTATCATCAATGGGCATTTGGGTTGGTTCCAGGTCTTTGCTATTGTAAACAGTGCTGCAATGAACATTCGTGTGCATGTGTCCTTGTAGTAGAATGATCTGTAATCCTTTGGATATATACCCAGTAATGGGATTGCTGGGTCAAATGGGATTTCTATTTTTAGGTCATTGAGGAATCACCCCACTGTCATCCACAATGGTTGAATTAATTTACACTCCCACCAACAGTGTAAAAGTGTTCCTATTTCTCCACATCCTCTCCAGCATCTGTTGTCTCCAGATTTTTTAATGATCGCCATTCTAACTGGTGTGAGATAGTATCTCAATGTAGTTTTGATTTGCATTTCTCTAATGACCAGTGATGATGAGCATTTTTTCATATGTTTGTTGGCCTCTTGTATGTCTTCTTTTGTAAAGTGTCTGTTCGTATCCTTCACCCACTTTTGAATGGGCTGGTTTGCTTTTCTCTTGTAGATCTGTTTTAGTTCTTTGTAAATTCTGGATATCAGCCCCTTGTCAAACGGGTAGACTGCAAAAATTTTTTTCCATTCTGTTGGTTGCCAGTTAGTTCTAATGACTGCTTCTTTTGCTGTGCAGAAGCTGTGGAGTTTGATTAGGTCCAATTTTTCTCTTTTGGCTTTTGTTGCCATTGCTTTTGGCATTTTGGTCATGAAGTCCTTGCCTATGCCTATGTCCTGAATGGTTTTGCCTAGATTTTCTTCTAGGGTTTTTATGATGTTAGGTCTTATGTTTAAGTCTTTAATCCATCTGGAGGTAATTTCAGTGTAAGGTGTCAGGAAGGGGTCCAGTTTCTGCTTTCTGCACATGGCTAGCCATTTTTCCCAACACCATTTATTAAACAGGGAATCCTTTCCCCATTGCTTGTTTTTTTCAGGTTTGTCAAAGATCAGATGGTTGTAGATATGTTGTGTTTCCTCCGAGGCCTCTGTTCTGTTCCATTTATCTATATCTCTGTTTTGGTACCAGTACCATGCTGTTTTGATTACTGTAGCCTTGTAGTATAGTTTGAAGTCTGGTAGTGTGATGCTTCCTGCTTTGTTCTTTTTGCTTAGAATTGACTTGGCTATGCGGGCTCTCTTTTGGTTCCATATGAAGTTTAAGGTGGTTTTTTCCAGTTCTGTGAAGGTCATTGGTAGCTTGATGGGGATACCATTGAATCTGTAAATTACTTTGGGCAGTATGGCCATTTTCACGATGTTGATTCTTCCTAACCATGAACATGGAATGTTTCTCCATCTGTTTGTGTCCTCTCTTATTTCGTTGAGCAGTGGCTTGTATTTCTCCTTGAAGAGGTCCTTTACGTTCCTTGTTAGTTGTATTCCTAGGTATTTTAGTCTCTTTGTAGCAATTGCTGAATGGCAGTTCGTTCTTGATTTGGCTCTCTTTAAGTCTGTTACTGGTGCATAGGAATGCTTGTGATTTTTGCACGTTGATTTTGTATCCTGAGACTTTGCTGAAGTTGTTTATCAGTTTCAGGAGATTTTGGGCTGAGACGATGGGGTCTTCTAGATATACAATCATGCCATCTGCAAATAGAGACAATTTTATTTCCTCCTTTCCTATTTGAATACCCTTTATTTCTTTTTCTTGCCTGATTGCTCTGGCTAGAACTTCCAGTACTATATTGAATAGGAGTGGTGAGAGAGGGCATCCTTGTCTAGTGCCAGATTTCAAAGGGAATGCTTCCAGTTTTTGCCCATTCAGTATGATATTGGCTGTGGGTTTGTAGTAAATAGCTTTTATTATTTTGAGATACATTCCATCAATACCTAGTTTATTGAGGGTTTTTAGCATAAAGGGCTGTTGAATTTTGTCAAAGGCCTTCTCTGGATCAATTGAGATAATCATGTGGTTTTTGTCTTTGGTTCTGTTTATGTGGTGAATTACGTTTATGGACTTGCGTATGTTGAACCTGCTTGCATCCCTGGGATGAATCCTACTTGATCATGGTGGACAAGCTTTTTGATGTTCTGTTGCAGTCGGCTTGCCACTATTTTATTGAAGATTTTTGCATCTATGTTCATCATGGATATTGGCCTAATGTTTTCTTTTCTTGTTGAGTCTCTGCCGGGTTTTGGTATCAGGATGATGTTTGTCTCATAAAATGATTTGGGAAGGATTCCCTCTTTTTGGATTATCTGGGATAGTTTCAGAAGGAATGGTACCAGCTCCTCTTTGTATGTCTGGTAGAATTGGCTGTGAACCCATCTGGACCTGGGCTTTTCTTGGGTGGTAGGCTCTTCATTGCTGCCTCAACTTCAGACCTTGTTATTGGTCTATTCAGGGTTTCAACTTCTTCCTGGTTTAGGCTTGGGAGCATGCAGGTGTCCAGGAATTTATCCATTTCTTCCAGGTTTAATTTATCCATTTCTTCCAGATTTACTAGTTTATGTGCACAGAGTTGTTTGTAATAATCTCTGATGATGGTTTGGATTTCTGTGGAATCTTTGATGATATCCCTTTATTGTTTTTTATTGCATCAATTTGGTTATTCTCTCTTTTCTTTTTTATTAATCTGGATAGTGGTCTATTTTGTTGATCTTTTTGAAAAAACAGCTCCTGGATTTATTGATTTTTTTGAAGGGTTTTTTGTGTCTCTATCTCCTTCAGTTCTGCTCTGATCTTAGTTATTTTTTGTCTTCTGCTAGGCTTTGAGTTTTTTTGATCTAGCTCCTCTAGCTCTTTCAATTTTGATGCTAGGGTTTCAATTTTAGATCTCTTCTTGCTTCTCATGTGGGCACTTATTGCTATATATTTTCCTCTAGAGACTGCTTTAATTGTGTCCCAGAGATTCTTGTATGTTGTGTCTTCATTCTCATTGGTTTCAAAGAACATCTTTATTTCTGCCTTCATTTCATTGTTTATCCAGTCAACATTCAAGAGCAAGTTGTTCAGTTTCCATGAAGCTGTGTGGTTCTGAGTTAGTTTCTGCATTCTGAGTTCTAACTCAATTGCACTGTGGG